ATTCTATGATTCTATGAATACAGACCCTTGGAAGAGCAGGGCAAAGGGACAGGTACCGGGGTCTGTTTTGCTCCCTCATGCTCACTCACGGACATGGCAGCGGCGGCACTGACCCCGCGTAACCCGGGGGCCAGAACAGGAGCGTGGGTGAGTGGTAACCGAATGAGCAGGAGGACATGCTGTTCCCTGCGAGTGTTCCCTGCGAGCTGCCTTTGTACATTCGGGCTTTGTGTTGTCTAGCTGGGAGGGTGGGGTTGGAGTTACAGAGGTGGGTGCAGAGGCAGGTTCTCCTGGTGTTTAACTGTTGCTTCCCCCCCCATGGTAAAAGTTGTGAAACAGGCAGGAAAATCCAGGTTCCCAAGTGGGACAGAGAGAAAGGACAAACCCCACAGTGGGTTAATGGCAGGTGGAGGAGGAGGTGGGAGTAGGGCTGGCAGGAGCAGGAGTGTTGCTGCGTCCTCAGCACTGAGGAGAAACAGCATCAGCAGATTCCTCGGATTCTCTCTCAGTGAGTGGAGGGTTCTGTTTGGGGTTGGTGGGGGTTGTTTTTCCAACACCCTTTGTCTCCCCACCTCTAGTCACCGTCAGGTGCCTGAAACCGTGGCTGAGCTCCTCTTCAGCCCTGGTGTGTGGTTTCCTTTGCAGGTGGTTGGGGTTTCTGCCGTGCTGGGCACGGGGCTGGATGACTTCTTTGTGCAGCTCTCTCAGGCTGCGGATGAGTACGAGAGGTAAGCGGTGACCACGGAGCCAGATGGCCAGCAGTCGTCCAACCCACTGACCCGTGAGCCCTCCCTTGGCTTGAAGGACCTTCCGCAGCCAGGGTAGTCCGGGGATTCGCAGGAGAGTAGTGTAAGACGCAGCCTGAAAAGCAGCTGCCAAAAGGAACTGTTCAGGGGTGGAGGATTTGCTCCTGCATCTCTGGAAACATTCAAGGTCAGGTTGGATGGGGCTCTGAGCAACCTGATCCAGTTGAAGGTGTCTGCTCATTGCAGGGGGATTGGACCTGACAGTCTTTGAAGGTCCCTTCCCACCAAAACCGTTCCATGACTCTTGGGCGTATCCACATCCGCTTCATCCCTGTTTTGTTACAGAAACCTTTTCGAGGGCCCAAGGCAGCAGGCTAGTTTGGAAGCATGTGGCAGCTTATGTGAGACCCTGTCAAATGCCCTCGGGAGGCACAAGGGGGGGCAGAGCTGTTCGTGCCTGTGCCTGGGGGACAGCGATGGACCCGCCCCCCGGTGTGGCCGTGGATGGCCGCCTCGGCTGAGCCGTGGTGGTTGGTGCCCGCAGGGCAGCGTGAGCCCTGTGCCCTGTGGGGAGTGGACACGGACTGCAGCCGGCAGCCTCAGAATCCAGCTGTGGGCCTTTCTGACCTGCCCCCCAAACATGAGGGCCTGGAGGGAGCAGTTGGGATATAAACTGCCCCGTAGTAACTCGTGGTAGTTGAAGCTGATCACGCTCCGTATCTTTCAGGGAGTATCGTCCGGAATATGAGCGCCTGAGGAGAACGCTGGTAGGTGTTTCAGCTCTTGCATGCCTGGTGGTGTGTCTTGGGGTCACTTTTATGCCTTTACGCTGGGGGTCTGCAGCTGATGTACTGATCCTCCTCCGTGTGGGAAACCCCCTGGCCCCAAACTCAGCATCTCCTTTTCCATCCATTTGGTGGGCGTGTCCTCATGGGTGTGAAGGCGGTTTGTAACTCAGAAGCTGCTCAGGGTTGTAGTGCTGCCAGTTTTTTTGGGCAAACTGCAAGAAAACCACAGGGAAGGTTTTTGTATCTCCCTTCCAAAGGGTAAGATGCTGGTAAAATGAACTTCCTGGAGTGGTTTGGCGAGAAGGTCCCCGCACACCAGCGACAGGCTCACCCTGACCTCTGGCTGTCCAAAGGGTCCTGTGGGCACAGCTCTGCTGGGTTTGGCTCCTGATGCTGCTGAACGTGGTGTTGAGGCTGATGGCGCTGGAGACCACTTTCCGTGGCTCCCCCACAGTTCTGGGAGCTCGGCGGTACCATAAGGCAGCTGGCTGGAGCGCCGAGCTCAGAGCGCCAGTCTGGGGCGAGTGAGCTCCTGCTGCTGCCAGTGTGTGCTCAGAATCCATATCACTCTATACCCACAGGAGAAAGCTCAGGATGCGCAGAAGAGGGAGCAGCTGGAGCACTTGCGGAAGGACATGGGCAGCATGTGCGTGCAGGGCGACGCACTGGCAGGTACCGCATGGGGAAGGATGCACTTACCACAGGGGTTGTCTGGAGACTCTGCCTCCAGAAGTCCCATCGCGCTTTTCTGCCCTCCCAGCAAGAGCGGGAACGCAGCTTTGTGTCAGTCGGGGGGAGAGAGCCTGGAGTCCCCGTGGGCTCAGCCAGAGCCGGCTCTTCTGCGTGTCAGTCGCTGGCGTTAGGAGAAGCCTGCTGCGTGGGTAGAGCAGCGGGTGTGTCAGAAGTGCTGAAATGGAAAAGGAGAAGCAGCGTACGGGAAGGCTTGGGTGCCGGTTCGACCTTTGCCCTGTACGAGGCTGAGGGTGGGCCTGCTGCAGCGCGATCTGTGTCTCGAATCCAGAAGCTGGTTTCTGTCCCGTCGGAGTAGGTGTGGTTTGCTGAGTGTGTGGGCAGATGAAGTTGTCAGAGCATGAGCTGGCTCCTTAGTGGGTTGGTGTGTATTTGACACTGTCCCACTGGACATCCTTGTCTCTAAATGGGACAGCCTTGTGTTGGACAGATGGAGCACTTGGCGGATAAGGAACCGGCTGGATGGGCGCAGTCAGGGTGGTGCCCAACGGCTCCATGTCCGAGTGGAGAGCAGCACCGAGCGGCATTCTGCAGGGATCGGGTTTGGGACCGGTGCTGTTGAGCATCTTTGTCAGTGACAGGGACGGTGGGGTCAAGGGCACCCTCAGCCAGTTTGACTTGACACCAAGCTGTGTGCTTCAGGGACACGCTGGGGGGAGAATGGATTGCAAACAGCCGTGAGAAGGACCTGGGGGGCTGGTGGATGGCACTGGGACAGGTTGCCCAGAGAAGCTGTGGATGCCCCATCCCTGGAAGTGTCCAAGGCCAGGCTGGAGGAGGCTTGGAGCAACCTGGTCTAGTGGAAGGTGTCCCTGCCCATGGCAAGGGGTGGCACTGGAGCGGCTTTAAGGTCCCTCCCAACCCAAACCATTTGGCGATTTTGTGACAGCCATTTCTGTTCCATTCCAGGCTCTGATGACATGTCTGCAATGGGCCCCTCCGAGCTGATCCTGACACGAGGAATTCTTGAAGAAGAAGAGGAGAGGGAGAGCGATACTGATGACATCGACCATGAAGGTAAGGGAAGGAGGGCTCTGATCAGGTCTAGAAGCTGCCTGTCTCATCAGGGGAGTCTGTGTCTCACTAACTGCATTGGCTGTAGTGGGAGCCTGCAACCGCAGCAGACACTGGGTGCCCTGAATGCGGGTGTGTGAGCGTAGAAGCTCAGCTGCAGTGCTTCGTGCAGTGGTAGCGCTCAATTCTTTGTCGAAGTTCAATTGTAAGTTGTCTGTTCGAGTGATCAGTTGTAGTGGGTGCATGACATGCAGGAACCAGACTGCGTGCTGCGCCTGGACATCGGCCACCTCCAGGCCTGGTTAACAGGCAGCGTGGTTCATCTTCCTTTCTGTTCCCGGCTCTCTTCCATCTCCCTACGAATCCTGGTCCTGGAGCAACCTTCCAGGTTCTTACTGCGTGTGGTCTTTCTCCTGTACAGCTTGCAGACTTGACCCTTCCCTGTTCCACTGATGTGGAACATATTTGTTTGGGTTCACCTCTTGTGCCTTGTAATGCGCCTGAAAATCAGATAGGCTTTATTTGCTGCCCTGACCAGCTTCTGTTTGAGCAGAACAAGAGCTGAGCTAGTGCTGAACTGTGGATTTCCCCCCCGCAGTTACGGAGAAGAGTCACGAAGAACCTGCCTTCAGAAACTTTATGCAAGAGACACAGATGAAATACCAGCGAAGAAGGAACCCGAATGAATGAGGCTGTCAGACACAGAGGGTTTGGGATCCTGTCGGAATCCTGCTTGGGGAGTATTTCCGTGTAGTGGAGTGGAAAGCAAAGGAATAGCATAAAGAAGCTTGAACAGAACCATGCGTGAAGTCCGTGAACAGCCTCTGGTGTCCATGTGGCCTCTTCCTGCAGCAGCTCTTGGCCAAGTGTGGGGAGGGTCTTGTGTCCAGCCGACTGCAGTCTGGGTGTCTGCCATGGCACTCCCTGAAGCTGGAGGAACGAAACAGCAAGTTCCTTCTGCTCCAGACCCGTTCGAGGTGCATGTTGAGAGCTTGGGTTGAGCTCTGGCAGCGCTGCCGCATGCGGGAAGCGCATTCTGCTCAGCTGGTGCAGCCGGGACACCCACGAGATCTCTGCTGCAGGAAACTTGAGCGATCTGGTGTTTGGCATTTTGGGTTGAATTAAATATGTTTTAGGTACTCACAGATGTGTGATGGTAACAGCAGGAGCAAAGGAGGGTCCCAGGAGGGAAAGTAACCGAGTTGGGTGTGACTGCTGCGAACCGACCTGTGCGTGGCCGAGTCCGAATGCGCGTCAGTAGGTAACGGGAGCAGAGGGGTTCAGAGGGGGAGTGTTCGCATGGAACGTGCTTGAGGCCTCGGCGCTGGGAGGATGTTCGTGTTCCGCTCTGCTCTGCTCTCTGCTGCCACCGTCCAAATAAAGTTGGGTACTGCAGACGGCGAAGCGCACATGCGCAGTGCTGCGCTGGACCGTGCTCTCTGCTGCCACCGTGTGACTGAAGAGTGGTATTGCAGGGGGGAGACACGCATG